AGACCTGCCACTGTGCCCACCGCTGCAGACCTGCTACTGTGCCCACCGCTGCAGACCTGCTACTGTGCCCACCGCTGCAGACTTGCTACTGTACCCACCGCGGCAGACACGGTACTGTGCCCACCATTGCAGACACGCTACTGTGCTCACCGCTGCAGACATGCTACTGTGCCCACTGCTGCAGACATGCTACTGTACCCACCGCGGCAGACACGGTACTGTGCCCACCACTGCAGACACGCTACTGTGCCCACCACTGCAGACACGCTACTGTGCTCACCGCGGCAGACACGATACTGTGCCCACCACTGCAGACACACTACTGTGCTCACCGCTGCAGACATGCTACTGTGCCCACTGCTGCAGACAATCTACTGTGTTCACCGCTGCAGACACGCTACTGTGCCCACTGCCTGGGTCCTCACACAACCTCCTCCCCATATGCCTGGGCAGGAAGAGGATGCCCACTTTCTGGGGTCTCTCCCCTTCTTTTTTTTCTCTGTTAATTTTTTAAACAGGATCTCATCTTGTGTAGTCCAGGATGGCCTGGAACTCACAGTATAGTTAAGAATGACTTTGAACTTATGGACCCCCTCCCCACCTCCCAAGTGCTACAGTCCTAGGCATGTGCCAGCATGCCTGCCTTTTCCTCTCCTAAAGAGATGATAAGGGTAGTGGACCAATCCTGCAAGACCCAATCACCATACACACTCAGGGTTTCAAGACATGAAGTTTAGAGTCACAACTCTGAGCCCACAGTGCTGGGTTGTCACCAGCTTCTTAACCTCTCTCTATTTAGTCTCTCCCCTGTAGACTAAATATGGCTGCAGCATCCACTCAGGGGTCTCTTACAAGGATCAGATGACTCATGCATGCAAGACAGAGCTCATCTCCCAGGGATCAAGCCACAGTCTGAGTGGCCACGGCCCAGGAATTGGATTCAAGCTTCCCTGGATGGCACGTTCCACCATGGAAGTGGCTATAGAAACTTTAAGGAATGGAAGGCAGTTGGAAACCAAAGCTCAACCAACCACACAGGTGGGACAGTGGCCAAATGACTATCAACCAAGCAGGAGAACTCTACAGTCCTCAGAGGCCATCTGATAATGCTCTTAGCTTTTGAGTTAGTAAAAGCTAGTGCCCTGCTAAATTAATATAACCAAAAGCTTTACCTAATAGCCACAAAGTTATTTGGTCAAAAAAGAGGCTGGCAATAATTGGCTATTATGGGGACCAAGATAGTCCAAGATAATACAGGCTTTTAATCTGCAATAGTCCAACTCTCCACAATCACACAGTTCTAGACAGGCAATCATTCTGTAGAATCTCCAGCCCAGACGTGATGCCAAAGAACATGGGTTCACGGCAGCCAGTTCCCGGTTCACAGCAGCATTCAACCAATAGTGTTACCACTTGACTCAGTATTCAGATTATGACTGTACCCGATGGCTTTCTCAGCGTAAGAATGTGGATGCAGAATGTCTTTCCTTGGGTCATTTTGAAGACATGAATTCAGTTTGTTTCTGCATGGTGCAAACCAGCCACCACGAATCCCCAGGTTAGAAAAAGCGTGGTTTGCGTCAAAGGCCCTGAGAGAGTGCAGTGCGCATCGAAGGGACCCTAAGCCTGAGCGTAAGCAGGGCTGACTGTATCTCATGATAGATTCAGCTATGTCCACATCCTTGTGTTGATTACACTGCCCTGCTTCCCTCTGACACCAGACTCAGCGAGTCCCCAGTGCCATTCCCCCACAGTGGGCAGCCCAGCGCTGAGACTCCGGCTGTGCTGACTGAGAGCAGCTCTTCCTGAGATCAGCGGGAGGGAAGCGGGAAAAGCAAATGACCTGTCACAAAGCCTGGTCCATGAAGCAAACCAGCAAGGCGCCTGTGACAAGCCCTCTTCATTGTGGAATGTCGGCAATGTAGATCTATTTTACGTTATCCAGAAGTGAAGCGGTCTATTCTGCAATCTTATTCACTAGGCAGACTTGAAGCATTATTGTCTGCCACTGACACCTCTGGCTGTACCCCGAGGGGCTGTCTCGGGATGGCTTTCATCACATTGCTAGTCTATGCACAGACCTCTCTCCCACTGTAACTTGTGGCTGGATCTAAAATTAGAGCTTCTCCTGCTAAATTTAAACTGTGCAGAGTCTATCCAGTGTTTGACCATGGACTCCTTAGCTACATGTCTGTGTGGTTTTATGGCTCTGAGATGGAATGAGTTTCTACTGCTCATCCATGTGGTTTTATCTGGAAATTAAATGGATGCCCGAAGACAGGCTGTTTCCACGTACTTCTCTAAAGCACTTGGGAGACCCACTAGGGACTCAGAGAAGTTCTCAGTAAAGAAACTCTAAGATTAAATAATTTTTAGAAAAATAAGGCTGGAGCTTTGGTTCAGTCGGTAAAGTGCTTCTTGTACAAGCATGAGGACTGAATTCAGTCCCCAGAAGTCACATGAAAAATATGAAAAATAAGATAAAAAGTCAGGCATGGTAGTGCATGCCTGGAGTCCCAGTGTGGGGGGAGCAGAGATTGGAGGATCCCTGAGGATTGCTGGCAGTCAGTCTAGCCAAATTGGTGAACGCCAGGTTTGGTGAGAAATCCTGCCTCATAAAGTAAGGTAGAAACGTGGTACTTTCAATCTTTCCCTCTCCCGCACGACTCCTACCGTGCTCTCACCCCCTCTCACATCCTTACCTCTTTAATTATTGTTGACATCCATGTGTACACGTACATGTGGACTTCTTTTGGTGACCATCTGTCTGACGTGAGAGTCCAGCCTGCTGTGTTGAGTGGAAGCTCAGTTGCTTTTGCTGTTTTCCCGTCTCCGTTGACCAGGTACGAAGAGTTGATAGGCAACTGCAGATCCTCTGCTGGTTTCCAGTTACAGGGGCAGGGATGATCAAACTCAACCAGGGAAACCTGTGAATGTGGCTGGGTCTGCCTGGGCAGGTGTGACCATTACCCCATCAGGGCTGAGCCTTCCCAGGCTGTTAGGAGGGCACAGAGCACACACTTCTGAATGACTGTTACTGGGGAAATAGGCTACAGTATACTACGTAATGCAGCAGAACTGTTACCAGAAAATGGACGCAGCGCAAAATTATACCTTGAGGAAAAAAATGCATTTCCTTCATGGTTCTCTACACCAGCGTCTATTTCTTCATGTGGATTTAAGTTGTCACCCAGATTCCTTTTTGTTTCCCTGGAGAATTCCCTTCATGATCCCATGCAGTGCAAAGCTGCTGGCAATGACCCGTCTCCATTTGTACTCACTGAGTGACTTCATTTCTCCTTCATTTTGTGAAGGATAGTTTTGCTGGGTATAGAATTCTTGGTTAACAATCTTTCTGCTTTCCGTATTTTGAAAACTATCTCCTCATTGCCTGTTTTGGAGTATCCACCAGAGAAGAATGTTCAGTCATGGGTTTAATCCAATAGAAAATCTTTATTAGCCTGCTGGTGACTACACCAGGATCCTAGTGTACCAGGCCTTTCACAGGGTGAGCTTTAGACACAGAAACTCTACCCTGAGCTGACGTACTTCAGTTAACAAGAACAGCTAGCCAGAGTGGAACTATAGAAGCTAAAAAGCAAGGCTAATACCTTTAGCAACTTCCCCAGAGCTATAAACTTAGATGGATTAGGTCTTTGTTTTCATTAGGCCAGTGGTACTATCTAAGTACTGAGTTTCACAGCCTGAATGGTACATCATCATGGCATCAGTTGTGCTAACATGGGGGGAGGGGGGTGCTGTTACAAGCCTTTTGGCTTCCATAACTATTTTGTTTGTGTTTTTGCAAGAAACATTTTTATTAATTCTTTGAGAATGCCATACAATGTACTTTTATCATATTCATCACCCATTCACTCCCTTAACTTCTCCCAGATCCTTCCTACCCACCAACAATTCATGCCCCCCCTTTTTGTTAATAACCCATCAGCTCATTTATTCTCTCCATTACTTCTGTTTGTGCAATTATTCACTAGAATGTGGTCAACCCACTAGGAGCCACTCTGTGGAAAAACAAACTAACTCCCATCATCAACCGTCCATAACCCCACAGTCGGAGGTGGGGGCTCATGAACCCCTTCTATTCCACGCTAGGATATTAACTGGTTTGGTCTTGTGCAGTCAGCCACAATGTCTGTGAGTTCCTAGGTATGAGGTCCTGTGACGTCCAAAGCACTCTGTCCCAGCCTTCCCTGACCCTCTGGTGCTCACAGTCTTTCTACCCCTCTTCTGTAATGGTCTCTGAGTCTCAGGATATCGATGTCCCTTTTGTGACTGAACATCCTATGGTCACTTATTCTGTATAATTTAACAAGTTATAAATTTCTTAATTTGCTTTATTTATTAATGTCTATGGAGATGTGTGGCTAGATTGTGTGTGGGGAGGATGCATTGCCACTGTATGTGAGAGGCAGCCAATAGACAGTTTTATGGAGTCAGTAATCTCCCACATCTACGTGGGATTTGGGGGATTGAACTCAGTTTGCCAGTCTTAGAAAGTCCTGGAGTTTCATGGCACGTGTCTACAATGTGAAAGATAGCACAGAGGTGTCACCCTCCTCTACAACACAGTATAAATGTCTGTACATAACAGCTCTGCCCAGGTCCCCAGGTCTCCTTGGCCTTGGAAGCCCGTGGATCCTAAAGCCTTTTCTCCTCTCCACAGGAATGACGTGCCAAGCTCGGAGCTCCTACATCACCAGTGAGATCTTGTGGGGTTACCGCTTCACCCCCGTCCTAACGCTGGAAGACGGGTTCTACGAAGTTGACTACAACAGCTTCCATGAGACCTACGAGACCAGCACCCCATCCCTTAGTGCCAAAGAGCTGGCCGAGCTGGCTAACAGGGCAGAGCTGCCCCTGAGTTGGTCCGTGTCCAGCAAACTGAACCAACATGCAGAACTGGAGACAGAAGAGGAAGAGAAGAACCCGGAAGAACAAACGGAGAGGAATGGTGACGTGGCAAACCTAGAGAATGAATCCAAAGTGTAGGCCCTGCTGGGTCAGCCTTTCCCTCCCCTCAGACACAACCCTTCCTTGTCTCTCATGCCCCTCTTTTCTGTTTCTCTCACTTTGATCTTGATTTGTTTATATTTAATTTTGGCATTTCCAAAAACCAAATCTTCAAGGTGTAAAATGCCTACCTGCCCTCAGATGTTCAGATAGACGAGCAGACAGGGATTTGGTCGAGGGTCAGGGTACCTCTATTTGTGGCCCAAGCCTGGTCTCCACCCTCAGGAGGACCCACTTAACTGTCCAACATACGTCACTCAAAAGAGCTGTCAAGGGTTTTACCCAGTGACACAGAGGTCACCTGCTTACTGTGGCCGTAGGTCACACCGGATAGTCCCTTCGGTTTTACAGAATCCAGTTCATCTCACCTAGCACAGGGCAGGTGCTTGCCCACTCAGACACTGTGGGTGCAGGACCCAGATAGCCAAGGATAGACCACTGTACATAGATCTGCCCTATGGAATTATTTTCTTTTGGCAATTAGTGACACCACTCAGCATGCACCAGAGTACCGTGGAGCAGAACTCCTAATAATGTACATAGATGTATCATTCATGTAGCCTGAGAAATATAACTTTAGAAATAAGAAGAAAAAAGATTCCTAATGTACAGTAGGTGTTTCTATTTTGTTATCTGTGTCTTTTGATCATCTTGATCCCCTTGACTGCTGGCCCTCTAAATGCATGGCCTTTGTTCCAGGTCCCAGGTTGACAGCTGCTGGGTACCGTTCTGTTCCCTTGTGATCCTTCTGTTGAATCTAATAAGCCATAGGTCTGAGGACAGTCCAGAGGCAGCAGATTGCAAGTCCCGCCACCCAAAACTCTGAACTCCCGTGATGGATGTCATTTGTTTATAGATGGCAAGGGTCTCTCTGACCAGCCTGGGGAACAGGAACTAGCGCAGCCCCCCACGTGACACTCGCCATAAACCCTAGCCCTTTGGTGCACAGCAGTTTAAGAAAACTTTCTGTAAAACCATTGATTGCTCTTCTATGTAGTCACAAGAAACTGCGGACATTTCATGTGGGCTGTGGCAAGTCAGCAGAAGGCGACTTGGGTGTGAAGCCACGGCTTTCAGGAAGTCATGCAATGGGTGACAATATTGCGTTACCAACTCCCTGCCCTCTGACGTCATCGGGCAAGCCTTTCCCTGGGGCCTGTCCTTACCATTTCTTATGCTGGTTTTCTTTTAAAAATCTTCTCTCATTATTATTGTTGCTATTATTATAAAATGGCCAGAGTCTGGCATACAAAGGTCCTTCCAGAGTACGAGAGTATTCCACTACTTGCAATCTACTCCAAGGGCCTCTCAATCAAAAGAGCACAAACAACAACCATCAGACCGTTCTCCCTAGCTTATTTTAATCTTCAAAGAAGGAGGGAATGGACGAACAAAGGAAGGCAGGCAACACGCATTACAATCTAAATTCAAATGAAATGAAAAGTGGACTGGGAAGAGACTCTCGGGTGAGACATCGGGGCAGGTGGAGATTTTGCACTGTAACCGATCTTTCTCATTGATTTTACACCTATAAACTGTTCGTTCTCTAACACCATTGCACATCATAGATATGCATCGAAGGATCTAAACTTATTTCAGCTCCTACAGATGTGCTCAGTTTGAGACTTTGCCCCATGGAGGTCAAAGAGGTCAAACTAGCTGCTCCCTGGTTCCCCTTTGCCACCCCTGACCAGACTGCACAGGGCTTTGCTGTAATCTGGGTTCCTGGTCTATAAGAGACAGGAATTATGGGAAGTGGTTTCTCCATCCAGCATCTGGGCTGCTCCTCTCTGTCTGCAGAGATCTTGCTACCCAAACAACTATTTCTTGGCTCTGACTCTGGAAAACAAAGCTATTGGCTGCAGCCCTTCCCCGCCTGCCAGCATTTCCCTTTGGCATTGGTTATTATCAATCAAGTCATGCATTCTCTCTGCACACTCTAAGCCGGAGATGGTGGAGGAGGAAGCCTGATTCCCAAGAGGCCTGACCTTATCTTAGCCTTATGAAAGATGCCCTGCTTTGGGGCACCGGCCCGCAGCAGCCCAGGGCAGGGCCTGTGTAGCACAAAGAAAGGTGGGGAAAGCCGCCAGGTGTCTGCTGACTAGCTCTTGAAGACTCACTGGGCCTTTTTAAATCTATGACTGAAGTTTGAAGGACAATCTCCCCTATTGATGGGCTGAAAGAGCAGCTTTGAAGTTGCCCTTCTCCCCCGCTCTTCGGGACACCGGGACAATAGCCCCGTGCACAGCCATGCTGTGGCCTCAGCAGGACACTCTGATGGGGGGGGTCTCTCTCTGCCTCTCAGGGTCTTGATGTCACTGTGGTGTGTGATGTGAGCTCAGAATCCTTAAAGACAGGAGCTCCTGGAGGACCTTTTGTTAGAATGACCTTTCCAAACGTGTCTATTTTTCTACAGTCACCAAGAAAACGGTTTGACAGTGTATTTTGTGTCTACTGTTAAAATTTGAAAGAAGGTCATTACGACTGAATTTTCTAAGCAGCAAGTACTCTATGGGGTTTTTCATTAAGTTAATTCAACAAAAGGGATCCCCAAAGCCTCCCCTTTCTAGTCCACGATCCCCAGTCCCTCTCTCTGCCAGTAGACCAAGTGCTATGAAAACACAATGAACCAAGCAACCCACAACCAATAGGGTGCTCTCCCTCTCTCTTCCTCTCTCCCGCCCTCCTCCCCTCCCTCACTCCACCCTTCTCCCCCCTCGATATTTTGGACTACTTGGTTGGTGTCTCCGAGTCATTTTTCCCCATAAAGCACAGTGAGATCCATGGTCCTGATAAGACCCTGGAACTCAAGGGGGACAGTTGTCACAGTAGACCCCAATCCAACAGAGCAAAAGAGCTCCCTGAGGTTCATCTGGAAGGGAGGGGTTGAGGAGATCCTTGCAGTCCTTGATCTACTGACCCCCTACCGTTAACTTTCTAGGGAGAGTCCCTATTCATTAACAGATTGACTTCATGTAATCAATACAGCTGTTTGCTTCTGGCGGCCCCCTGGGCACATGGCTAACCCTCGCTAACACAGTCTAACGCATTAGAATCAGTTCATCCTTTTCAGGTCCTTCTGAACATCGTGTTGGGGTGTGACTGTGACTCCATAGCCATGAGGTGGAACCCCTCTTCCTTTACTCCCTTCCTCTTTGTCCCCCCACTTTTGTTCTCTCTGTATTCCAGATCTATTGATTTCATTTAGTACCTAACTTTCCTAGCAGAAATCAAGCTACTGTATCAAAACGTCGACCTATTTCTTAAGCACAACTTTTCTCTTACAGGTTTAATCAAAATAGGACTCTGACATGCCTGGGTTTATTTTTTTTTTCATTATACTCTAATTGAAATTTAATTGTGGCTTCGTTTTAAAGCCTGGATGGTCACAGTTTGCTTTTCTGCATGAATGTAAGATGGTACCTTTGGAGTGTCTAGAGACTGGCTGACCAAGGTGTGCGGCAGGGAGAGCAAGGGTGCTTTGGAAGGCTCCACAAGTACCCGGAAAACACACAGACCCTTTAGCTCTGAGACACATGAAAACAGACAGACCACTTGCTACCCAGACAACTGGCCCAGAGTCGACTTTCCCTTTCTTCCCCGACTTTAAATGCTCTAAACAACCCAGAAGCCAAGAAGGCGGCTCCAAGTGAAATGACCCCCATTCATGACCAGCTAAGATGTCTCGTTCCTACGACTTCAGTTCAGTGAATAACTGTAGAGTTAGACAACAGAAGCCACATTGACAGGTTGGTTGATATTATAGAACAGCTGTAACATCATCTTGAGTTGGACTTTATGTCCAACCTGTATCTAAGAAAATGTCGCCTTGCAATCCAGAGGGAAACCTTCCTCTTCCTGATAAGTCTGCCTTCAGTGTCTCAGAGGGGATTTGTGATTCAGAGTGTCATGTAGAAGTCAAGACTGTCCGAAGGTTGCTGGGGACTCGGACAATGTGCACAACAATCTCGACACTGCATACCTGACAATAACACAGTATGCCTGACACTGGGCAGTAAACGTAGAACACTCCCACAATTGCCTCCTGGAACTCCAACCCACAGAAGCTGAGCACTGTGACTGGCTTCTTTATCATCGGGGAATGTAGAATTTGGGCAAACTGAGTCATGCCATCAAAACTCCAGGCCAGTAAATGATACATCATGATCTCAAATCCAGGTCACAAGGCTGTAATCATGGGATGTTTCTATTAAGAAAAAAGTTTGGCACACCAACATGCTGGGAGTCTAATCTGTTACACTCTTTCAAGCTAACACTAATCTATACACTTCCAAATGGTTGGGAGAAAAAACAACCAAGTATATTTGAGGGACATATAAAATCCAAATCTCAGGGGCCAGGGATGTAACTTGGTTGGCAGAGGGCTTTTCCTGGAGCTTGCACAAAGCCCCAGGTTTGGGCCCTAGTACTGCATAACAAAACATGTTAGCACACACCCATATAGCATTTTGGAAGTGGAGGCAGGAAGGTCAGGAGTTCAAGGTCATCCTCAGCTACCTGCAGAATTTGGGACCAGCCTGAGCTACATGAGACCCTGTCTCAAAAGAAAATAATTCAAATCTTGGTCCATAAAGAGTTTCATTGGAACATAGCACACCATCTGTGCGTGCACTGCCTTTAGCTGCTCTGAGTCTGTATGAGAAGAACTGGGTAACTGAGAGACTGTGCAGCTGGCAAACATCTGTACTATTACCAACACTACCATTAAGTGTGTAGCCACAGTTTTAAGAATTACACTATTCTCGTGGGTTTTTCTCAGAGAATGGTCTCCTTTCCCAGCCCAAATCTCCTGGAGTCACTTCCAGGAAAACATGTTTTTAGAGTCGGTCATATAGTCAGGGCTCTCAGAGAGAAGGCTTCCTTTTCCTACTCACCCTTCTGGGATTTGATATCCACCCTGGAAGCAGCTGGAGCAGAACCACTCGTTAACAAGCAATAAAGAAACGAAAGCTCCTGGCCCAGCAACTGAATATGACTTCTCTGGTGCCCAAGGGCCTTAAATTCCGCAGACCATTCTGTCCACTGGTGTCTGCCAGCACGAAGGACCCGGCTGCTGAGGGGCCTCACGTGCTCTTGCTGGTTCCTCTAGAAGGAATCTAGATGGATCGGTGAGGTGAAGAGGGTTCTGGAGCCACTGTCAATATTTCTGTACACTGGCCCTGGCTCTCTGGCCTCTTAGCTAGAAGCTCAGCATGCGGATGAATGACCAGTTGTCCTTCTCTGGGAACTCATGAGGTCTCTGCAAGCTGAAGGGGAGTGGAAGGGTGGGGCAAGGTAACGGCAAAGCAGACCAAATCCCAGTGACAGAGATTTTAGATATGGCTATATTAAAATGGCATTGTCTGGAGTCACAAATTTGACCCACCTCAGTTCTAAGGAAACATTTCTCGCATCAGTCAGCCAAGTTCGGTTCTTTCTCTTAACAGTTCTATTCTCTGAGAAAGAGAGGGAGAGAGAGCATAATATCAAGTTCTCTTATGAATGATTTCCAGGAAATTAGATGGGAAAGAAACCATTCTGTGACAAACCATTGCATGTTGTGCTGTGGACAGACAAGCTGCAGATGTGTTCCCACATCCCAAACTTAGGAGGTAATGCCGTCTGCCACAGGGACCATGCCAATCTCTACGATTCTTCAGCCACTCGGAAGATACAACCAGGTCACACAGTCTCAAAATCCAACACCATGAAACTTAAATAAATGTAAAAAGGAGGCAAACTCCTACTTGGCCTCATTGCCTTAGCAAAAGGAAGCTTCACACAGCCACCTAATCCGTGTGGAGCCACCCCAGGGAAAGGGAAGCTATGCTATATGAGATTAGCTCACGGATTTGCTCCTCTGCTGGGAAAGGGAGGGGTGGCCACAGATGAAATGTACCTTCATGTTCTTCGGGCCCCTCTTCCCTTAGACTGGGATCCTGGTGTGCATGTGGTTGGCAGATAGCAATGGCCACAGAGTCAACAGATATCAGCTTCAGAGGTAGACAAGTTCCTACTATCCATGTGCAAGTGACCACCTCGAGATCAAGGCTCAGCACCCATCATGAAAACTGTGATATCAATGCCGCCAATCTTTGTGAGACCACCAAGGGCTGCTTTTCTCAGGCCATGTAAATATCCGCTACCAGCTAACACTAGTGAAGTAAATATCCCAATCACCAGAGCTTCCCAAAGTGAAACAGCACTCGGAGTATGTTCACCCAGAGGAGCTAGGGGCCCCCAGGATGTCCCAGGAGTCCAAGAGAAGACCCAGTAGAGGCTGAAAGCCCTTTCGGAGAAAGCCAGTGCTAGATTTAAGGTCACAAAATACGAATAACAGATCAACTGGAACCAGAATCTCAGATTCCAGCTGTGCACCGTCTAAACCTCTAGATGTTTAGTCGGAGTTTTCAGAGAAGGGAGGACACTGTCCTCAGACCCACCCTCTCTCTGTGCCTCTGCCTGTGGGTGACAGTGAGCAAGACCCTCCCCTGCTCAGCTTGGGCAGGCACACGGCAGGCAGTGCCCGCCTACTGAGGCCCCTCAGAGTGAGTGTACCCACCAAAAAGCTGCTCCTTGTGCATCTGGATGATGGCCCCCTAGAAGTATCTTCTAAGGACCTAAAATTTTTTAAGAATGCCTGGGAGGCGTTCTTGACTCCACAGATCACCTCCTGAGTCAGGAATGAATTTAGACCTTTGGAACCCTGTCCAAATGTAAATCCAATAACATACTAAAGCAAAACTGAAGTCACTGAAGGAAATCCCCAGAAGTTCTGATTTCACCAGAATGGTTATCTCCGTGATATCCTGAGTTTCTGTTTTTATTACACACCAAAGGCTTCATACTTGAGAAAATTTCACTATGAGGGTTCGCAGAGCTGTGAGGACAGGAAGTCAGTCACTCGGTATATTGCAGTTCCCTTCTGGAGAGTGGAACCTATCCCCTTTCTAAGCAAGTCTCAGTGCTGTTCCATTGGAACCCACCCAGGTCACAGCATCCACACATTTTCCCTGACAGAGCTGCCAAAGGAGGAGAGTTCTTTAACTCCACCCTTGAGCAGCGTCTACAATGTGTGGCTCGTTATCTGACAGGCCCACCTCTTGCCGCTAACTATTCACTCCTGCTGACTTTATTAGCATCTGACACCTCTCCCCCCCAGCCCCCAGATAAAGTATTTAGACCATTTTGCTCCTGCCATTATGCACCTTGAGCTTACTACTTGTATCTGGACCTCTTAGACCTCCTCCCAGCAAATGACCAGAGCAGGGTCAAGCGAGGCCTCGCACTGGGGGACAAATGGGCTTGCCTGGTTGGGTCTTTCTGTCCTTTCATTTGCAGCCTGTGATCACCTAGACAGTTTCCAGACTTCTCAAGAAGTCCCGAGGACCTTTGTTCATCCCAGCACGCTCCTCTAAAACCAGAGGCACGCGTGACAGCAGTGCACACACACACACACACAGGCTCCGACGTGACACACGCATGTGCCTCTGTTGGCAAAGCGGTCTTTTCTCTGCTCACAGCCTATACAAACACCCAGCACTCTGGCATGACTGCTACCCAGACTGCTTCCCAGTTCAGCTGCTGCCATGGCAACCCTCCATCTGTGAGTGTGGACCACTCTTGTGCAGACTAGAGGAGGCTTAGGGGAGGTCCCAGGAGCAGA